GCATCTGCAGTTCCTACTATCCCATGTATAAACACAAAGTGTTTTATAGCATTGAAAAGAGTGAGAGAGCTTTACTCTAGCATAAGGATAAATTAGAGATGGAAGAGGCCAAAAAAGTGACAACCTAGTAAAAGAGAGTATGTGTGGTTACCCACAGCATGGAGCAAAGAAATCTAAAACTACTAGCAGTGGTAGTAAAGCATAACATAAAACACTTCCTTTTTTACATAGGCAAGTATCAACAAAAATGTTTTCCATTAATACGTATCAGGAGATATTTATATGTGTGCAACCTTATGTGTAGATGTTTTCTAATCAACCTGTTCAGAGATGTTATTACACACCTCTGGAGCAGGTGGAACTTGTATTGAGAAAGTGCTACATTGTCAGAGGTGCCATCTGCTGGATGAGACACTGTACCTGTGTTTTCAGAAGTATGTCAACTGTTCCCAGGCACTACTCCAAGAGTTGTTGTGAGTTTTCCTGGTAGTTATTTATCTTTCAATAATCACTATCAAAAATTGGTTGTTCTTTGCTGTTTGTGGGACCTTGCCATGCATAAATTCACTGCCACATTAGTCTATAAAACAACAGTGGTTTCTCTTCAAAAAAAACTGTGAAGCTTTTTGGGACATCGTGAGAGTTTGGGACACAGTATATAAGTAAATGCAGCATTTTTCTTTCTGAGTCTCATCATCTTTGTGCAATTAAGTGCACATTACTGAGAGGCAAATAATTCAGTATTTTTTGCATACCATATTCCCCTAGAAGTCTTCTGCAAAGTACAAGAAAAAGAACAAGATTATTACCTGACATTGATAGATTATGTGCTAAATAAAATTAAAAACAAACAAAATTAGGTAGAAAAGGAAATGGTTACAGCTTTTGAACCATGAAATTAAAATTGATTTCCTCCTTGATGCCCCTCTGGAATTCTATAATACCAATGAAAGTTGTATCATAAGGTGCACTTCAATGGGACAATTTATATTTATGTCAACACAAAGCATCAGTTGGCATTCGAGTAGAATAATGCCAAATATCCTGCCCAGATTCCTGTACCTGTTCTTCATAAGGTGTATAAATTATTATCTTAAATTCAGTCAAATCAAATTCTCTACATTTATACTGAATTTTTGTTTACAATCATTGAGAAATTATATGATGTTACATGGTGTTTTTAAAACATGTTGTCAGTTAGCTATCAAATAAAAGTAACACAGGTGTAATTTTCTGGGTAATGTGGTAGGAGCAGATGAAATCTGATGAGTTCAGTCAATTTTGTACTGACCTGTTAACTCATGAATGACGTATATAAATGAGTTTAGTCCACAAGTAAAAATACTCTATTTTTCATATCTAGGCAATATAACGTCCATTTATATCAGAGGGTTTATTGTTATTTTTAAACACTTTTCACAAAGTATTATTATTCTATTTTTGATTAGCTATAATGGAAATGTGGTGGAGGCAGGTTCCATTGAGCCATTTGAGTTAACCTTTGATGATTATTTAGATAGAAATGGTATGTAGGAATTTGAGGAAAAGACAGTAAATTGGCAGTACGTAATAGAGTCAGTGCAGGCATGATGGGCCGAATGGTCAACTTCTGTGCTGTAACACTGTGATTCTGTGAGAACTGAAAAAGGAAACAGCAGCCTTTAATTTTGCTTTATATTACATCTTTTAGTCGATTACATTTTTGTAAAGAGCCTTATGATGTATATCTGTTGTGTAAATGCATGTTGCTGTTAGTCATGTTTTTTATTCTCCTTCTGAGCTCTTCTCTCTTCCCAGAGAGATTCACCACTTTGAAAATCCATTTATTAGAGACTATTATTTCAAATGGCTATCAGTAGAATTCTGACGATGAACGAGTTATCATTGACACCAATTTAAAATTCTTTATTAATCATCCATCACAAAATATAACTATGCAGTTCAAGTTAAGGATCCTAGCATGAGTCAATTAAATTTTGTCACTTGCAGCCTTCATTATGCAAGATAGTGTTTACTGAGGTAAGTAATTGCACTTTCAGTAGTCCAAGTGTAAAGACAAGGCATTCTCCTTAATGGGTGTAATGTATAACGGAAAGGGAAATGTCTCTTGCATGAGACTTTGTAGACTCTCCATAAATGTAAAAATATCAATCCTTTGTCAGACTTCTGCATGGTGCATCTTTCAACTGTGCAGAGTTCCACAGGAGGCAGAGGTAAATCCAGGACTATTCCATTCCACATTTCATAAGAAATAATTTTGACAGGCTGTTATTTCCTTTCCTTGAGCAATGCACAACACACAGCCAAGAGAGCAGGTTCATAATTATGAGACAAAGTCATGAACTACCATGCCACAAAAAAGAACATTTATTCCTCAGAAATCTCATCCTGTTCAAAAATCCAAGAGAAAGATTTTTAACTTTTGGACTTCTGAAAAAAAATTAGGCCTCCTAATTTTCAGCAGACAGCTTGCTTTATCAATCTCTGTTCATCTTGTGCTCCATGTCATTATAAGTTATATGCATTTCTACAATGTTGGATACTTACCTGATGGCAGAAACAAACACATAAATGAGGTATGAGGTTTCTGCACCTCTTACTGGTATTTTCAACTTTCTCAGTTCTGGATTTTCCCATCCTAAAACTAGCTTGCAAACCCCAGTTGGGAGGGATGGTGTATCTAGTTTTAATTATAGGGATCCTCAGCTGCAGTCAGTTAACAATGGAGTTGGACATCTTAAAATACTATTTGGCTACACGTGCCTGATTCTGCAGTTGCAGCTGAGTGAAAAAACATCTGGCAAGTGTTTTTTTGTGTAGCTAAAATAAAATTTTACTTCAGTGTCAACTTTGTCTGATAGTATGAATGTGCTACTTGCTTTGCTATTGTGGTTGGGAAACCAGGAGCAAGAGCAGGAAGAGTTGGGAAGCTTTGCTCCACACGAGTTTATAGAACAAGTGTTGTTCCTCCAGTTTTGTGAGAATCAGTATATTCCAATGGCTCTGGCTCTTTACAAAGACTATTACAGAGCTATGTCACCAACTGCAGTGATAAATGATGCCTATCACCAGATTTATTCCCAGTAGTTCTGAAGGTGCTTGCATTTCCATATTTTGGGGATATTCAAGGTTTCAGGAGGTGAAATAACCAAGTTAATCAACTTGAGCACAAAACAACAAATTAAATGAGTGCACCCAAGATGGACATTGTAGCAAGCTCAAGGTCATTAGATTTGAAAGGGCTCCACTGTGGATATCAGCATCAATAACTACTACTGAGATAGTGTCACAGAGCAAAGTGGGTCAGACCATCGTAGACACAGTTTGAGTGATGATGGGAAGCAGGTGGGGGGATGCATATGCCTCTCCAATGGACACTCTGGCACTCAAACAGTCTGAACCTCAGCACTGCCATTGCTCTGCATGTGAAGATGTAATTGGATCATTTTGGTGCTCCAATGATTCAGTGGACATTGGACCATAAGCCTGATTAACGACAGACAGGGCTTCCATTGCAGTTGTCACCACATGCATAATAAGCAAGGGCCTCACTGCAGTGTACAAACAGATGATCCATAATGAAAACAGAAATAGCTGGAGAAACTCAGTCGATCTGGCATCATCTGTGGAGAGAAAGCAGTGTCAACATTTCTCGTCCAGTGACCTTTCATCAGAACTTAGATGGTCCATAATCGATTGAACTGTTTTGTTGTCATGTGCAAGGATTCCCCATGGATCAGAGATGGGCAACTCTATACTGTCTCTAGGGGAAGGAGCCCAACGTATCAATTGGTTACTGATGTCTTTCACAGACCTAGGTTTAGAAATTTTAATCTGTTTTGTCTACTGCAGGTCTAGGACATGTTTGCCTATGACAAACTCATTCCTGTATCATCCTTTCCCTCATCTACGTTGCTGTAGATTTGTGCTTGAGGATTCTTTGTGTATAATTTCCTGCAAACAGCTTGGATCAATGGCAGGTTGCTGTGGATGTCAAGAAGTTTAATGAAAACTCAAAATGGAGGATGGTCAGACACCAGATCAGATCTTCCAGAGTTGCCACCTGCCAATGTCTGGTCACGAAGAAAATGAGTTAGCACACGACCTGCTAAAGAGTTCTGAACATAGGCATGTCAAGGTAGCACAGTTTGAATGTTGCTTGAAAGAAGAAGCAGGCATGGCATAATGAGGAAAATAATTATGAAGAGATGTGTAATGTGAAAAGCCTGCAAAAAGAGATGCAGTGAAGTATGCTGCTGTGACTGGATGAGACTGATAGAAATTAGATTTCTAGGGTCACAGATGGTGAAGTGCTAATTGGACGGTAAATTGGTAGAACTGTAATCTGACCTTGGCAGCTCTGGTACATTTTTGATTTTCTTACAGCATTGTTCTGACTTCTCAATGTACTGCTGAGAACAGGCAGCCATCTATGTACAGCATTCTGGGCTGCTTGCATCGCACCTCACTCCTTTTATCCAGAAACAGGGTTTGATTTTTCCAAATGTTCTACTTTACAATGACCTTCAGAGAATTGACTTAACGCTTTGGGAGCTTAGTAGCCTACACTGAGAATATATTTTCGAAGTTTAAATGTGCTCATGTAACAAAGAAGTGCAGATTGCCTTTAAATTGAATGAATCCTGTTTAAAAATTTATTGTGCACACAACCTGCATCCCAGTCGCACCATTCCCATGAGGTGTAAACCTGAAATGATCCATGCCTCCCACCCACATTATTATTGAGTATCTCACTTCCCATCATTTTAGGATTAAGACATCTTTTTGCCCCCTTCCAATGTCAGGATTCCATAGAGCTTTCAAAATTTAATTCCCATTTGTCAAAATAAGTCAAAATGACATAGTACATTGCAAAGACAGAATAATGTTCTGAATAATATATACAGAAAGAAATAATTACATCTCAAGAAGCTTTTTATTCGAACTAGCAAATACATAATCCTGTGAGTTCACTAATGGTAACTTTATTCATATTGATGACCTGATTTAAAATGTATGTTAGATTAACATGTAAAAAACAGGCCATAACAAGTAGAAAATGCTGTCATTCAAAACCATAGCCTAGCAGAGTTAAAAATTCATACTTTAAGTAAAAGAAAAGATGTTTAAAAATACTTATGTAATTGTGGTGCTGTTTCTCATCTGTTATATTTCAGCTAAGAGGCTTCTCTCCAGTGGATTGGAGCAATTAATGTGATAAGAGCAGGAGACTGAAGAATTATACCGTTAGCATATTTACAGTAAGTAATTATCAACCAATAATATATTCAGAACACAGAGCCTGTTATTAAGAATTGTCATCAACAGTTTGTCTCACTGAAATCGTCAATCTGAGGGGTCAAGGAAAACTGACCCCAGTTCCATATGTTTTGCTACTGTGCTGATTATCAGAATATATTAAAATGCCAAAGGAAATGCCAAATTGCCAATACCGTTTCTACAAGAGAAAGAGACCAAAAGGTAATGCTCAGTAACAGCACAGCAATTCCACTTCAGAAGTCAATGGACATTGAACGTTGCACAGTGTCATTTCTGCCACGTACATAGATTTCAGGAGGAATCTCCTCCATCACTCTGTCTTCTATGACCCGTTCTGGACTGTCTTGTGAGTGCTTCAAAGTATAGCAGCTTTTCTTGAAGGTGCTATTAAATGTTTTCATTGGCTGTGGCTGAGAGAAATCATTCCGAAATGGAAGATCCATTGTGCTTAGATTAGTCCTGCTGTGCTTTATGCTTGGAGGTTGTGAGCCACAGTGATGATCGTGGATGCATCTGGAGGCATTGGATGAGGAGCGCCTGAGTTTATGGTAATTCTCAAAGTCTTCAGACAAATCAGCCAAATCTGCTGTTATTTCTTTATCCCTTAGGGAAAACAGTTCATAATGAGGTGGATCAAATACTTCTTGAAATCCTGATTTGTTGAATGCTGCTTTGCGAGCCAAAACCTTTTTGCGAGGTTGTTTTACTTGCACCAGTACAGAAATGACAAGAAGAACTAAAACAATTCCAGATGAAATACCAATGATTGTTCCATGGGTTTTGGTAATCTGGTGAAAGAGACCAGGCTTCTTCTTTTCTGCAAAAGTACAAATATCAAAAAATGTAAATACTAGCAATCTAAAAATAGTCATGCCAGTGCCACTTTGAACACACACGAACACACACACACACACAAAAATTGGTTTGAGAAAAACTAGAACAGATGGTCTTGTGGTGTCTCTACTTCTGGATCAGAAGGTCTGGGTTCAAGTCCTTGTTTAGGATATGTTGGCCATGATGGTGTATCTTATCGCGTCCAAATAGATTAAAAAACAGAACTAGAACAACTAATCTGGGGTAACCCATAGCTGAGTGCCTGGCCTGCATAGTGTTAGGCACAACCACTTTCTACTAGGTTCTCTGTTGTTTCAAATCAACACAGTATCATAATAAATTGTTTTAAAGAAAGGAGTCCCATATCTAAATTTTAAAATTTGCTAAGAATTTACAAGTGAATTCTGTTGATCTTATAAACCAGCCAGTCAGACATAATAACAACTTCAATGTAATGGGCCATCCTTCTATAATAACATCTCTTCATTATTTCTAATTTACTTAATTTGCAACCCAAAAGGCAATATGAAAGTACGCTAATGATCCCTTTGGGGACTTGGGCAAATGAATTTTTTTTTTAATTAAAATGCATATGTTATTTCATAAACTGCTAAAAATTCTAATTCAATTATCTCATGGAATAATATCAGAGTTCTATAGGATTTCTAAAGTCTGTCATTCATTATCTTTAAGTCTAATTCTGTAATAGTTGCAAAGTAGCACTTAAGAGATAGTTAACGTAAAACACATTAAATGTTTTAAATTAAATTGCAAGCCTGGTTTCAACTTGAGGATTGCATTAAGTGAGCAGGGTGGGAGTACAAGCAGAATGATTTGTCCAATGTCAGCATCTTAAAATCCCAGGCTTCTGTCCGGTCTGCCCATTTTCACCAGACAATTTTCTATTGCGTGTTCATTTAAAGCAGGAATGCACCTCCTGAAATGATATGCCTGATTTTGCAGAGCTGGAATGGGGATGACTAAATTTAGAGCTCCTGTCAGGTTTACTGTTCTTCACTGATCATCCTTGTGGGGAAGGCAGGGTAAGAAGGGAATTTTTTCTCCACCCCACAAGCACCTGCAGGAACATAACCCAGGTAAATATCCAGCAGTTCTATTCAACTGCTCTGGAGAAGAGTCACTAGACTCGAAACATTAACTCTGCTTTCTCTGCACAGATGCTGCCAGACCTGCTGAGTTTCTCCAGCAATTTGTTTTTGTTTCAACTATCCAGCAGGGCTGGGTAGGCGTAGCTGAGAGGGTCGATGAAAGCATCACCACCTCCTGGGGATTCAGTTATTTCACAAGAACAGCAAGAGCACAGTTTGATTTCTCCCTCTCTCTGAACAACAACTGCTAACATTCCTTCCATCTCATCCCATCACTCTTACACAATCCCCGTTCTCTCATAAGATTCAGCACACAACCACAAGTGCTTGCTGCAAAAAACCTTCCTTTCTCATTACAAACATAATCAGACTTCCTTTGCTTTCTTTATGCTACACCCACAATACAATGGTGAGGTGAGGGTTAATTTGGGTTAATGAAATCAGAATATTTTCCATTTTTATCTTACGTAATTCATATATGCATCAAAAAGGGTATTGTTTACTTTATAGTTCACCAATAATGAATAGGATAGAATATCCTTTATTGTCACTTGCACTACAATACAGAAGTATAGGGGTACAGTGAAAAGTTGATGTAGTTTTAAATAATTTCAATGTTTCTACCTAATTGTATACGAGGACACTTAATTGATGGAAAATTCAACTCCATTGTTTATCTTGGATTTTATGAATAAGCCATAAAACTGTACATATAATGGACTATGCAGAATGATGGAAAATAATAATAGTTCTTTAGAAATAAATTCCATCCATTATTGGAAAAAGCATATAATTTATCCTGATTCACTTACTACGACACTGCTCCAGTTTATAAAGAGTCTTTAAGAAATCAAAGTAATTTTGAATCATATATTACCTGCACACTCCTGAAATAATCAGACAGTGAAAGCTCAAGAGAATGACTTAGTGCTTTTAGCTGGCACCCACTTAAATCATATGAGTTACAAGAATGTCTATGTCTTCTTAATTATTTAGTCAAAAACATAGGCACAATGAATGTTCTTAGGATGGTAGTTCAGTACAGCTTTTAAAGCTTTATGACAAGACCAGTCCCTTTAAAACAAGACATTATGTGGAGATGTAATGAACAGGGAAACTACATATTCACACCCTGCCAAAGGTATGGCGAGTTGAATGCTGGGTTTATTAATGATATAAAATGTACTCTTTCTAATGTTCATTCATTTATTCATGCTATATGTTAAAGAACACTGTGCGTCAAAATCTATCAAAACTGCATATTATGCCATTTTCAGTGTGCTCCTAGATGGTGATTACTGCCTACTGCAGCTAAAAGCTCTTGACTATGTATTAGACTGGTCATAGCATGATGGATAACAGATGGCTGTTAAATATTGGATGTTATTTTGGCAGGCACAACAGTATTAAAATGTTCTCTAATATACTTTTCATTGAAACAGAGGTCATATAGAGTACATAGAATGGGCAAGCACTTTATCCATTGAGTTAGAGTATAAAATATTTCAAAAATATATCACTATTTAGATAGACTGAAGACTAAGAGGAATAGATGGGAAAAGTACTTGTTGCACAGGGTTTAAAACTTCTGAGTATCACCAAGGGGAGTGGAGTTAGCATTCTATGGGACGGGTATTTACTGCAATTAAAATAAAATTAGAGTACTTTGTCTAGTTTTGGGCTCTATAACAAATAAAGAATATTGAAGCAAAAGGGAGGTTACAATTCAGATTCTCAAGGATGTTGCCGGTGATGAACAAATACAAACATGAAGAAAGGCTAGAAAAATTGGACCAGTTTGTTATCTCAGAGGAAATTAAAGGGTGACTCAGTAGAAGTAAAATTACAAAAGTGGATGAGAATCTGCAGATGGAGACAGACTGTTCCAATGAATGAAAGGAACAGAGAAAGGTGATTGTTATGAATATAGATATGAATAAATAAATGAGATTTAGGACAGAGCAAGAGAAAATTAGAGTGTACAGAGTCCATGGAAAGGACTAGTGGAATTAGTTATTGAAGCAGCAACAATGTGAGAAAGTTGCATTTGAAATAAAAGGATGTATAGAATAAATTAGGTCAGACTCAAAGAGAATAAAGACTGTTGTTTGAATAAATTGTGCCATCATGTTTAAAAGAATCTAGGGATGGGATTGCAGAGGCATTGCTATACAAATTTATTAATTTGTTTAAAAAGATTTAATGCTAAAAGACTGGTAGGTAGCTAATGTAATTCTTACACTTAACGAAGGTGATAGACAATGCCTGGGGAATTGTAGACTGCCTAGTGTAACATTGGTAGTCAGAAAATTTATGGATTCCCTACTAAAGTAGAGAATAGAATGACATCAAGAAATGACATATATAATGATTAATTAGCATTGATTTCAAAAGAAAGAATCCTCCTAACCAACAGTAATCAAATGTTTAAGGTTGGGATCAGACAGAGTAGACAATGATAACAAGATAGATGCAATTTATCTAGACTTTCAAAAGTCCTTCAACTATGTGCCCCATAATGGATTAATGAATAATTCAAAGAATGTGGAGTCAGGGGAACTAGTGACGGAATTGATTGCTAGCTGGCTTCAAGACAGAAAGTAGATTGTGGGTGTAAATGGGGAGCTATCAGAGTGGAGAAGGCAGGACAACAATCAGTACTGGGATCTCTGCTATTCATAACTTACATTAGAAATTTGGAGAAGGCATCAAAACAAAACTTTAACATTTGCAAATGACTCCAAATTTGGGGAGGTAGTGGGGGTGGGAGTGCAAATACCAAGAACTACAATAAATTACATAGGGCGTTAATAAATTTTGCAGAATAACAAATAATGGGCAAATGAAATTCAATGCAGACATAAGTGATGTGATACATTTTGGTGAAGATCACATTACTTACAAAGTGAGAGTCTGGGTAGAGGAACAAATAGATTTCCGAGTACAAACGCATCAGTTATTAAAAATTGCAAGGTTAGCAAGGACACAGGATAAAAAACAAAGTGTTAGGCTTTATTTCTAGAGGGAAAGAATCAAAAAGTAAAAAAAATTAAGCAAAATCTGCAAACGTTTTGTTAGATCATAGAGTATCACATGCCATATTATAAGAAAGGATATGGATGCCATCAATATAAAATAGTCATTAATAAATCCATAGCAAATTGAGAAGAAACTTCTTTTACTAAAGAGAAGTGAGAATGTGAAACTCACTACTTCAGAGGTAGTTGAGATAAAAAGTATAAATGCATTTAAAAAGGGAAGCTAGACGAACATGTTAGAAAGTATTTGAACGAAGATCTGAGGGTTACGATGATTTACTTGAGGAAAGATAGGAGGAGGCTCAAATGGTGCAAAAATGCTGGCATGGTCTACTTGGGCTGAATGGTCTGTTTCTGCAATGTTAGCAGTGATAAACAGCTTACAGAAGTAATTGATGGACAAGGAAAGAAAAAAAACATGAGAACTGATGTAGATGCAAACGCTTAGGTAGAGAAAAAGGAAGAATCAAAGGGTTAAAAGGATTAAAATTAGTTTTTCTCTCTATTCTTATCTCGTTCCTGAAGATGTGTTCTGATACCTTACATAATTGGTTGCAAGATGGCAAAAAGGGAATTAGGGATTGTTGATGCCAGGTTTCCATTTCTTTACTCTGCTCTGGGGATTTCTTTTCTCAGTGTGAAGTGAATTGTTTGCAGGTATAAGCAAAAGGTGAGCATGACTGAGGTAGGATGGGTTACCCCAGCTTCTTTTCTTTGAGGGTCATTTATAAGGACCCAACTGTTGACGTAAAGTTGCGCTCTAAGCTTCCATGCTCCGGGTGGGGTTGGGGACCTGGGTTCGATTCCACCCTCGAGTGACTGTCTGTGTGGAGGTTGCACATTCTCCCCGTGTCTGCTTTGGGTGCTCTGGTTTCCTAAAGGTATGCAGGTTAGGTGAATTGATCATGCTAAATTGCCCATACTATCCATGGATGTGCAAACTATGTGGATTTGCCATGGGAAATGCAGAGTTACAGGGATGGGTCTGGGTGGGATGTTCTTTGGAGGATCAGTATGGACTTGATAGGCCAAATGGCCTGCTTTGACATTGCAGGGATGCTATGATTCTATGTTAAGCAGGCAGCAAAGCCGGGGAGGCAAGCAAAGGTAAATGGAAGCTCTTCTTTTCATTTCCTCAGATATCTTTGACTCTGGAGGATTTTTGACTGCAGGTTTTGGAGAACAACTTGAAGATCTGGATGTAAATGGTCATTCCTGTTGCTCTAATACTACCAGATCTGCAGAAATGGCTGCATTCCTGATCCATTTCTAGGCACACAATATTGCTGGGTGGTAAATCTGCAATGAATGTACAATGATGATCTGAACTGCCAAATTCAGACAGGTTCAGATAATTGTAGGGGAGTTAGTTTGTTGAACCGTCTTCTGTGTGGAAATAAAAACCTTTTAACAGAAAATAAGTTCGTTTAGTTCAACAGTCTGTGTGCTATTTGGTTTTAAAATCTATCCATGAGCTGAAATTAAATTCAAAAACTGGTACTGATACAGCAACGTTTTACAATATACACAAACAATTTCTCTGGGCTGTTAAAACAGACCATTCAAAAGCTGCCTGCCAAGCATTCACAAATCAAATCTGGACAAACTGGTCTAGAGATCAGGAGGAACAGTTTTGGCAGTTTTAAATGGAAATGATCAGGCACTGGATCCAGTCTTTGAAAGCAATTTACTAAAGGATTTGGTGCATTTCGGTGTACATCATTTAATTATAACAGCTTTATTTCAAAGAGTCATTCTGTTTCCAGTTAATGATTCGATCTTCAAGAACAGATTTCATTTTAACTTCATAGTTCAAAGCATTACTAACGTAAGAATGGCAGAATTTTTTCTTTCCAAATGAACAGCAGCGTCAACATCAGTTGTTTTAATAAATACAAAAATAGCTGATATTGCTTCGCACCTATGGCAGTTGCTCCTGTAAGGTTAATACTTCAAAATTTAGATACAATAAATCATTATGATATGCATAATAAAAACCGAAAGAACTGCGGATGCTGTAAATCAGGAACAAAAACAAAGTTGCTGGACAAGCTCAGCAGGTCTGGCAGCATCTGTGAAGGAGAAAACAGAGTTAACCTTTCGGGTCCGGTGACCCTTCCTCAGAACTGATGGTGGCTGGGAAAACAGTCTGTCCAACTGTCTTTCTCTCTCTTTGGGCTCTATCCTATCGTTTACTCCCTACTCCACCCACCTCCCTTTTTTCTGCACATAAACTGACGTTTTCCCAGCCACCATCAGTTCTGAGGAAGGGTCACCGGACCCGAAAGGTTAACTCTGTTTTCTCCTTCACAGATGCTGCCAGACCTGCTGAGCTTTTCCAGCAATTTTGTTTTTCATTATGATATGCATATTGTTTACTTGCAGCTTTAGTGCCAAGTAGACCATGCTGTCATTTTTCTTGTATGTGCTTGTTAGATATAAGAATAATGCCAACCAAGGCTAGAACTCTAATCCACATCCATGGGAACAACACTTATAGGAACTAACAGGATGTTCAGGGTTCCCTAATGGTTTCCAGTAACCTCAAATGCAAGAGAATGTGGGAGTATACTGGGTAAGAATAAGATCAAACTTATCTTTTGATACCAACATTCCTCACACCTTGTTCAGGACCCTTGAATGTTGTGTTTGACAGGTACAGTTCTGACAAAGAAAGGAACAGATCTGTGGCAGGATGGCCTGTCTTATTCCTTTAATGGTTATGGTTAACGAAAGATGCACGAGTGCAGGGAAAGCCTGAATATTTTCATTATTGACCCAAAATTAAAATCAGTTTAACACTGGCTGTTACACCATTTGTAACTAACATGGGTGGATTAGGGTGGGAACAAATAGCAAGAAACATTAAACATTGGAATATTATCCAATTAATCTCAAACACAAGTTTCAATGAGCCAAAATATTGTCTCCTTCCTCAATAAGAAATACTTTCATTTCATTCTGGAAAATGAGTAAATCATATTTTATTGCATAGTAAAATAAGCTGCCTTGTATTAAATCAGGTTTCTATACTTGAGATGTGGTAATGTCAAAACTATGTCAGATCTGTTAGACTCTAAAACAATACTTAATGCAAACATTGACTGAAATTAATGTATTGATTTAGCCTAATAATACACTGTCTGAGAAAAATGGCTTTTTTCAAGTCTGATGAAGTAAAGGGCATTTTTCTCTCACAAATTCTTTAACAGTTCTGAGCAAACAATGGTACCTTTACAATGATTTTCATCCCATGGGTACACGCAGTTCTGCACTCCATTACAGACCAAAGAATTGTTGATGCACATGTCACTGTGGCAAAAGAATGTGTTGTCCTGGCAGGGAGCTTTGAGACAAAAGTTAGAGTCACCATAAATTATAGCACATATATTTCAAAAGCTTATACAAGATGTGATGTAGTACTATGTATGGCCATTCAACCATGAGCAACAAAACACAGTAAATGGGCATTTTGTAAAGGTCATGTCTTTGTTAGTTCAGCTTTGTCAGTTAGATAAATTGGCCATGGCTTCATTATTCACAGTAAAAGCATCAACTGAATCTCCCACACAAAATTAATTAATTCATCTAATTGGATTTATTGATTGTTAACTTGCATAAATTTGTAACACGATTCAATCATTAGCTTTAGAAACTTAAATATAGACAAGATGTATTGCTAGTTAATAGCATTCAGAAACAAAGGAATGGATCTGAAACCAACATAAAAAGGACTAGAGTGATATACTTTTGACATTTCTTATGATGGCTAACATTTTGTAAATCATGATCTAGTTTTTCATGGGGCTTCTTTGGGATTCTTGTGGTTCAACTATTTCAATATGAAACTCAAAGGACAGACAGAAAGATGTGTCACACTTCCAATATCTGAACGGGTTGCTTATTCTACAAGTAGTGAGTTGAAAGACTAAAAATGTGCATACAAATGACAAGGTGGTATATTTATGAGAATGGGAACTGCTCTGAATAATTTGTGATTGAAGCTCTGTTGAGGTCTGTTTTATAAATACAAGCACATTACTTACAGGATTTTTAGGATTATCTGTGTTCCTTATTTTTATTTTGTGTGCTTAATTTAGGAGTGAACTCAGATAAGTGACTGAAAAAGGAGGCATCATAACAAATTAAACCAACTAATAAACAGGTCAACTGGCATCAACTTCTACAGGTTATTGAAACTGGCAGAATTTTTATAGATTTTTTTCTGTATAGAGAATTTTATCAGTTCTTCACTTACCAGATGTAATCAATTTCCTACTGTTCACCAAGTCACTTTACACACCTTCCTGAAACTGGTACTAATTAAGCTATCTTTATTACAAAAAAACAACAACAACAATCAAAAATATAACTGAAAAGGACATACTTGTGCAGAGAAGCTGTTGTGCAGCTGTTGTTAAAATTAACTGTTTTTTAAAAATTTTAGATTGGAGGTCTGTCGCAAATCATCAATACCACAAACTATTTAAAATTAATTCTTGCTGCCATTGAGTAGCTCCCACAGAGCGGCACGGTGGCTCAGTGGTTAGCAGTGCTGCCTCACAGCACAAAGGATTCAGGTTCGATTACAGCCTTGGATGACTGTCTGTGTGGAGTTTGCACATTCTCCCAGCGCCTGTGTGGGCTTCTTAAGGGTGCTCCGGTTTCCAGTTAGTTGGATTGGCCATGCTAAGTTGCCTCATAGTGTCCAAGGATATGCAGGCTAGGTGGGCTAGCCATGGGAAATATGGGGTTTTGGGGATACAGTTGAGGGTGGAATCTGGGTGTTATGCTATTCAGAGGATTGGTGTGGACTCAATGAGCCGAATGTCAGGATTCTATGAGTGTACAAGAGGATTGTCCTGACTTACTTTCTGACCGGAAATTTAATGGTATTTGTTTGTTAATAATCCTCTTGCTTTCACAACAGGAGTTTTTTATAATAGCTGGTCAACTACTGAATTATTTCCATTTTGTTCTGTATATCTGCAAATATTTTTTAAAATTTCTCAAGGTAAATTTTATAAAGGAGAATCAAAAATGTATATAGGATCAAAACTAATAATATTCCTGGCAATTAGGAACAAGGATGTTTCATTGGCAATTTTCCAAAGCAATGTTATCCCCATTAATCAGTCAGTTAGTCTGTGTCTTTCCAGACACATGAATCCACTCTGAGAGGATGTGCAAATACATTGCTCTCCAACCTCTGCCAATCCATCCAATGGTCACATCTTAAAATATTGCACAGTATAATTTTCAAGGCTACTGTAGCGATTTTAACAAGATCAGCCAGGTGGACATCATGGAATATGAGTTCACTGATTTGGGCTGTTAATCTGGTCCAATCAGGGAACCCTGGCTGACAGATATAAACAGGAGTGTCAGACATCCTGTTCACTCTAAGAGCTGGCTCAGTGTCAAGGACTGTAAGTAAAGCTGGCTTGGTGATGGGACACCAACCTCTGTGAAGTTATTTCATCTACATTTTTGACTTTGGGTATTTAAATCCTGTGGCTGTGTAAAAATATTGTTTTAGTTTTTAAACAAATGCTTTCCTTGGTGGATATATTACCAGGAATGACAATAAGCAAACAGTGGCAGACATTTAAGGAAGTAATTCAAGACTGTCAGCAAAAATACATCCCAGTAAAAGGGAAAAATTCTAAGAGAGGGATAAACCAACCATGGCTAATCAAGAAAGTTACAGGAATTTAAGTTGAAAGAAAAAGAATACAAGGAGGCCAAAGTCAATGAACACTGGGATAAATTCAGACCCAGCAAAGGAGGAATAAAGGTAATAAAGACAGAAAAAATAAACTATGACAGCAAACTATTGAGGAATATAAAAACAGACATTAATAGCTTTTTTAATTATATAAAAAGGAAGAGAGAGGTCACAGTATGCATAGGCCCCTTATAAAATGAATCTGGGGAGATGGTTTTGAGGAACAAGGAAATGGCAGAGGAGTTAAACAAATATTTTGCATCAGTCTTTACGATGAAAGATACTTTGAACTTTCCATCGGCACTAAAGAATGCAGGGGAGGAATTATAGTCAATCACCATCAATAAAGATATAGTAATGGGGCTAAAGGCAGTTAAGTCCCATATTGGCACTTCACCAAGATTTTCCCTATCACCTCTACTTCTTGCCTTCAAACAACTGCCAAACCTTAAACAGACTATTGTTTGCAGCAAACTACCCAGCCTTCAGGACAACATCGACCACAACACCGTACAACCCTGCCATGGGAAGACATGTCAGATCATCAACTTGGATACTACCATCACATGGTAACACCACCCACTACGTTCACAGCAGATACTCATGTGACTTGGCCAATGTTGTCTATCGCATCAATGCAGGCAAGGATGTCCCAAGGTATGGTATGTTGATGAGACCATGCAGACGTTACGACAATGGATGAATGGACACTGTAAAACAATCGCCAAACAGGAATGTTCCCTCCCAGTTGGGGAACACTTCAGCGGTCACGGGCATTCAGCCTGCGATCTTCGGGTAAGCGCCCTCCAAGGCAGACTCCGAGATATGCAATAACGCAGAATCGCCGAGCAGAGGCTGATAGCCAAGTTTCGTACCCATGAACATGGTCTCAATCATGACCTTGGGTTCATGTCGTGCTACATGTGACTCCACCTCACTGTTCTGTATCTGTAAAATCTTCCATACTTTCCTGTTTGGGCAGCATCATCTTTTGTTAAATTGTTATGATCTCTATACCTTAATTAGTTTGTACAGTTTTGAATTACTTTTTACACTCTCACACACACATTCTTTTACACACACAGCCACATCAAACATATTCACACAGACTCTCTCTCACACACTCACTCTCTCAAGCACACACACACACACACATACACTTACTCTCTCGTTCTCCCTCTCTCTCTCTCACACATTCACACATACACACACACACACACACACACACACAAATCTATGGGTAAATCAATTCATCCAAGACCTTTGTTTATTTGCAGATACATTCTATTTTGTTTGAAAAACACATGATTTGTAGTCACAGTTAGTCAATGTGGCATCTTATAACTTCCAGTTTTTGGAATAAAACCAGCCTGATTTCAGGTTAAAACCCTGAGACAGATTCTGTACAAAGCCTCCCATCTATATTTCAGTGTCTGATCTGAGATGTCACCTTTTGTATATTCCTATTGCTCTGCCTGATTGTCATGACTGCACAGCACTGGCATTGATTTTATAAACACTTTACACACCATCTAACTGTCTTGGTCACCTGCAGAGATTTATTATCTGACACTCTACTCATACCAGTAATATGATCTTTTGATCTCTCTGCCTATAAACTCTGTCTGTGTGCTGTGCTCTTTCACTGCACCTGACAAAGGGGCTGCACTCTGAAATCTTGTGTGATTCTAAATAAACCCGTTGGACTATAATCTGGTGTTGTGTGACTTCTGACTTTGTCCACCAAGTCCAACACCAGCATCTCCACAGAATGGTTTTGTGAAAGGGAAATCGTGTCTGACTAATTTAGAGTTTTTCGAGGAAGTGTCAACCAGAGTGGTTAGAGGGGAACCAGTAGATGAGTTGTATTTTGAATTTTAGAAGGCATTCGACACGGTACGTCACGAAAGATTAAGTTATAAGAGCCCACAGTGTTGGAGTTAGGATTTAGCGTCGCTAGCGATTGGCTCATGGGCAGGAAACAGCGAGCGGAGTTAAGGAATTCTGTTTTAGGTTAGTGATCTGTGACTAGTAGGGTTCACAGGGATCAGTGGAGGGACCACAACTGGTTACAATACAAATTAATGACTTGGAGGAAAGAAGTGAATGTGCAGTATCCAGATTTGTAGGTCACAAAAATAGGTGGAAAGGCAGGTTGGTGAGAGGGATACACACAGTTTACAGAGAGATGTTGATAAGTTAAGTAAGTGGGCAAAAAGTTGATAAGTATGGGGTATAATGTGGGAAAATATGAAGTTATTCATTTTGGAAGAGAGAACAAAAGAACAGAGTATTATTTAAATGGAGAAAAAACTTTGGAAAGCTGCATCACAAAGGGACTTGGTGGCACCTGTGCATGAAACACAGAAAGCTAGCACATAAGTGCAGCAGGTGATCAGGCTGTCTAATGGAATGTTGGCCCTTTTATCAAGGGGGTTGGAGTATAAGAGTAGGGAAGTCTTACTACAAATATACAAGGTGCTGGTGAGATCACATCTGGAGTCTTGTGAGCAGTTTTGGACCCCTTATTTAAGGAAAGATATTATTTAGTTGGAGGCACTTTAGAGAAGGTTCACGAGATGATCCCTGGTATGGAGGGATTGTCTTCTGAGCAAAGGCTAAACAGATTGGGACTCTACTCACAGAAGTTTAGAAGAATAAGAGGTGATCTCATTGAAATATACAAGAATCTTAAGGGGCTTGAGAGGGTAAATGCAGAGAGGATGTTTCCCCTGATGGGAGTCTAGGACCAGAGGGCAAAGTCACAGAATAAACATGTACCAATTTAAGACTGAGATGAGGAGGAATTTCTTCTGTCACCGGGTTCAGAGTGTTTGGAACTCCTTTGCACAGACAGCTGTGTGGCCAGAATCCTTGTGCACATTTAAGGCTGAGATAGGTAGATTCTTGATCAGTAGGGGAACCAAAGGATATGGACAAAAGGCAGGAAAGTGGACACAAGGAATGTCAGATTAGTCATGATCCTATTGAATGGCAGAGCAGGCTCTAGAGGCTGAATGACCTACTTCTGTTCCTATTTCTTATGGTTTCATGGTCTCCGAAGCAGTTATTTAAATGAAATACACAAGTAACAGATTAAAACATTATTAGAACACAAAATGTTTATGAGCTATGGTCACTTACGATCCACAAACGAAGTAAAAAGCATTCGGAACGTGCTGAGCTTGCTGCCCTCATCAGCCCACATACGAACCACTCCAACTCCAGTTTGCAGCATTACATCATTAGCTATTGTGCTACAAAATTTTGCCTTTAGGTTTTCAATTGCACTGCTTCCATCGTAGACAGCAACAAAATTCCTCTTGCATTCATTAGAGTGATCCATTTGATAGTCCAGAAAGCGTAAATAAATCTATTGAACAGAAACACATCGAGGTCCATTGACAGTGTTTCATAGATGTATTTGTTTATTCGTTACAGTCCATACAAGATGATTGCTGCAAATCCTCAAGCTTGGTAATCAAGAAAGAACATTCATTCTTTCTGAAAAACCATCTGAATTCAGTCTCCAAGAGCTTATTTAACTCATGAAATCATCAATTTATAATAATTTATTTTAGATTTTCTTGTTTTTATTCTGAATATCAGGCATTGCAGCCCATACTCATCAATGTGACCTTAACAGGGCTGAATAAACAGTTTTTTCAATAAAGTGTCAGAACCAAGTTATTGTACATCTGAGACAATAAATTTACCTCTATTCCTTTGCACTTTTTTGTGAATAATGCGTATGTACCAATGTAACAACTCAAATTTTCACAACAACTCTTCTTAATCCCTTTAAATGTGACATTATATTGAACTTCAGGAGCTTTCACACTGAAATATTGATAATGATAATTTAAAATTAGAGCATAGAACCCGTACTTAGTGACTGACTCTGATTACAAGTCTATCTTCAGATGGTGGATTTACATTGATCATTTATGTTAATTACATCATAAATACAGTTACAGCTTGCACTGTATTTTATGCCTTACAGATATTGCCACTGCAAACTCTTTCTCAGATATGGCAACAACAGGGTCTTCTTTTCAAAAGGTTGTTAAATGCAAATTAATTCAAAGTAGATTATTTTATATAGTCACTGAATGTTTAGCTAGATATGTTCAATTAATATCATGGTGTATTCTGTACGTGTTTACATTGAAGCCAGATTGTTAGCATAATGCTCTTTGACTAACATTTGCCTTGCTATCAATTGAGGTGACTCGAAAATCTTTGTTGGCTCACGTGCACATTTTGACCAGGCCATACAATGATTTACGCCTATAAATAACGCACAACAATAGGGTCCTTTATCGAGGAAGTTCGAATGCAACTCTCAAAAGTAAAAGGATGGTGTACTGTCCTATTGAAGTTTGCAGCTTTAATCAAACATTTGTTATTAGATTACTGAATCATTGTACCCAACTTTCAGAATTACATGTAACACAAACTGTACGTGATGTGCTTTGGATTCTAAAGACTGTGTTATAATAAGGCTGAACTGTTGTAGTGTCTATGACTCTGTAAACAGCAGATATATGTGCCTGTGAGCCAAACCAATGAGTGAAACAAGAGTCAACTAAGCAGGGCTGAAAACAAATTTATCTTTGTTCCATTTCTATAGATCAGAAATTACAAAGATGCAGTAACATAATTACTTTTAATTGTATGTTAATTGGGGAACATTACTTAAAGTACCACTGTCTTTGAGTCTTACCTGATGTTAATCTGTATAATAGTGACTCCACCGCTCAGTGCTGAGTTGCTGGTATTATTAATTGTTCAATACTAAATCTGAATGAAATAGTTTGTACTCTTGGGATTACAGTGGCACTGGATAGTGAATGGAATTTTATTTATCATAAATCATGAGCATGCATGGATATAATTTTTATGATATTTTAAAATAAAACTGTTCAAAATTAATAGCAATTTAAACTGCTTATGAATTATTTTGTAGTGCAGGAGAGGACAGACATATCTGAAAGACATTTTGAAAAGTAATTTGTTAAGTAAGCCATGGAAGAAAATAAACTGAACAAAAATTTTAATCACTTATGAAGAAAGTAGTTAAATGTCAAGTGGCAGTTTACTTGCAGATTTCAATTTCTTTGCCTAGCAGCAATTCATATTAATCATAATTCAATAAAAACAAATGACTTTTGGTAAAGAAAAGGAATTGGCATATTTAAGCCCATTTCAAATCAAAGTCATAGGTGTTTAGTTGCTAATAGAAATAAATCAGGTGAAAGATTTCTCTCCAAAATCGTTATTCCTAATGTTACTTATACCCTAACTAAATACTGTTACCATTGAGAACATTCTTGAAACTAACACAATGGGCTTATTTTAACATGGACACCCTATTACATCACAGATGGTGTAGCTTCTTTATGATTAAATTGTGAAATGTATAGCTATATTTGTATCTGTGAAATTAAATAATTTATTTCCACATTTTTACGAAATGGAAAGTTTACAACTATGTTTGAAACTTTATTATACCAAAAAAAAGCACAAAACATTCACTTAATTCAAAGTCATTCTGATGGAACATATATGAATACAATGTTACAATAATACCACAAAACCATGTTGCTACACCAGGAGACAATGACAAGAAAAATCTCCCACTTATTGCTTAGGGTTTATTAAAATAAAATTAACAACTCGCAAACTAAATTTTAATAGCTATTTCATTAATATAGTTTTTTTCCAGAAGGTACCTTACAACAGGACACCCATCTGACTACGCCCAAGGAGTTGAGTAAAGTAGACTTTGTTCAAACACTGGAAGATGCACAATGATGAAGCAGGGGGAAGAGACCCTGTTAGAACTGGAAGGCAATTTGGACTTTAAACATGAGACGAATATCTCTGCAGAGAGTGCAGTCTAAATGTATAAACACAGTATTGAATTTTCAGTTGTGTGAAGAGATTACTAAGGAATACCTTTTCTATGCCTTAGTTGCCTGAAAAGAAATATTTAGTCCAGGCTTATTTCCATAGAATCATAGACTCCCTACAGTGTGGAAACAAGCCATTTGGCCCACAAGTTCATACTAACCCTCTGAAGAGTATCCCACCCAGACCCATTCCCCTACCCTGCAATTCCCATGCCTAACACACCTAACCTACACATGCCTGAACATTATGAGCAATTTAGCATGGCCAATTCTTTGGGCACATGCACATCTTTGGGCTGTGGGAGGAAACCGGAGCACCCGGTGGAAACCCACGCAGACATGGGGAGAACGTGCAAGCTCCACACATACAGTCACCCGAGGGTGGAATCGAACCCTGGTCCCTGGCACTGTGAGGTTACCACAGAGCCACCCTGCTGCCCTTAATGAGCTTGTTATGGTGAAATTTAAAAACATGGAAACTTATTGTGTGGCTCCTTGAGTCAGTTGTGGGCAAATCATCTGTGTTTAAAAAATTTTCAGTCTCTACTGGGAGCACAACACTATTAAAAATCTGCCTGTTGTAATGAATTGTAATAGTTATTTTACTTTTAACAAAGTACTGGCCAAATGAAGAGAGATAACAAGGTGTAGAGCTGGATGAACACAGCAGGCCAAGCAGCATCAGAGGAGCAGGAAGGCTGACGTTTTGGGGC